GATCTCTGTTCCTTTCCTCTTTTTGAAAATTCCACGGTAATTGAAACTAGTATTTGTGTCTAGCACATTGAAATGCAGAAAAGGTGGAAGACATTGTGTTGAAAATTTGTCACCCTACCTTTACCTTTAAGTGTTTGGGGAAGGAAGTGGAGCATTGCTCAAGTCTTTAAGGGATTACCGACTTGCTAAAGTTTTATTTAAGTCAGTTCTACTTTAAAATCTCAAAGGGCTGGGATTGTTCTGTAAATGTGTGGGATGTGATAGATGGAATTAAATGACCGGGTAGTTTCTATAAGATTTGGTAAAGTTTCGCTTTTTCTATCCAACAACAGAAAGTCGTTTATTCCCGGCGCGGCATCCAGTGGTTTTTTCCAGAAATCGTATCTTAGTTACATCTTACCATCCTGCTATGCGAGCCATTTTCAGCATTTTGTTCAACCCTTTGATTTCATTTGCGGGGAGGTGCTGCAACTAAGTTTGCTATGCAACTTTCAACCCTAGCATTTGTTGGAACATACCCGCGGCTTGCGAAATTTACATCATGGGGTGCTAGTTTATCTTTTCAGTGGCAAGATGGGTGCGACAAGCGGTTTGATAGTGGCAGGAATCGCCGGGGCCACTGCGATTGGCATTTCCTTCGCGGCGATTCCGTTTGTCACTCCAGCGCTGCGTCGCGTCTGCATCCCCTACGTGCCCGCAACCCCACCACAACTGAAAAACGTGTCACGCGCTCTAGCCGAATGTACACCGAAGCAGGGCCCACTCATTGATCTAGGATCTGGAGATGGACGTGTAGTGAGTTATACATTCCCTATTCCATTGTGCAGTTTTTCAGATGAAGTTCGGCGAGCAGCTGGCGAGTCATCTAACACCGGAATGGCGGAAGCAATATATCGACTATGAAGCGCTGAAGAATCTACTCTATGACAACATGCTGGAAGTACCGTCAGAAGAAGATCGACGAGAAGAGCATATAGCTCAAATGGATGAAAAGTTCTTTAATGAGTGCGAAAATGAGCTTACTAAGATCAATTTGTTTTTCTCCCAAAAGATAGCTGAGGCCCAAGGAAAGTACCATGAGCTTCAGTCTGAGCTGCAAATGTTCAAAGAGGTAGTTGAACAGCGCGCTGAGCCGACGACCATTCTTCGACGGAGATTTGGTGCTCGCGACAAGCTTCATAAAGAAACGATCAAGACCAGTCAACAATTGAAACTCGCTTTCTCGGAATTCTATCTTAGCTTAGTACTAGTTCAGAATTACCAGCAGCTGAATGGCACAGGATTTCGGAAGATTCTTAAAAAACACGACAAGCTAACCGGAAATGAACGAGGGCTTGATTGGCGGATTAATAAAGTCGAGAAGAGCTCATTTTTCTTGAACCGTGAGATTGAGACCCTGATCAATAACGTGGAGACTTCGGTTATAAATGAACTTGAAGGAGGCAATCGCCAAGCGGGAATGAAACGCCTCAAAGTACCTCCTCTCTCTGAAAAGCAGAAACCAATTACCACGTTTTCCCTCGGACTTTTTATGGGAGCAGGACTTATCCTTATTACTGCCATCTTCCTTTCGTGGTGGGGAGCAGTGGTGCGACCAAACGAGCCTCAGTGGGTTGCAGTGCGGCTCTTCCGTGG